TCTTGAATTGAAACTTCAAACACTTAAACTTAGTGACATTCTCAGCCCTAAAATAAAATTTTCACTGGTTTTAAGAATCATTAAGCGCCTTAACAAAATTTCATAAGTTTTAAACCTTAATTAAAGCTTAAAACCTCCAATAAATCTAATAATCAAATTTAAACACAAAAAAATATGAGTAAGACCTTACTGCATCCATCGAATAATACCGCTTAACCAATGAAATTAAAATCCAATTGATTGGCAGCAAATTAAACTAATGAATTTAAGAGCAAATTAAATATTTATTAATTATAATTAATTAATATTATTAAAAATTTTCCAAAAATTTCTCACACAATACATTGGGAATTATCCTATAGGTCATTCCTGGCCTTTGGAACTGAATTTCAAGGAAGTTGGGATCTTCATTTGGAAGCAAAATCCCAAAAGACCCTTTAATTAAGTGATTTCAAAAATTATATAAATACCTAAAAATTCAAACCTCCATAACTAATTCAGAGAAAATCAAATCACCCAAACTCACTGCATTTACAATACTCAATAACAAAGTTAATATTTATTAAAAATATTAAATTTTAGAAAAATATGTCAATATTTCAAAAAGTCAACAAAATCGTCCAACGTTAAGTCAAAACTAGTTCAAAACTTCAAAACCTTCGTAATAAAAGTAGAAAAATATCCGATTTCATAAGTATTTACCTTCTAACTGATTGTAGTAAATGGATTCTAGTATTTTTTAATAAAATACAAACATTTCTAGAATTTTGAGCTTAATAAAAAGTCAATTTCTCAACCGCCTTTAATTAAGTGATTAAAATATTCATAAAAAATCCTAAAACTTCAAAAATCACCTCTAAAACTCCAGAAATGTCTAATCACCCTTAAATCCAGTAATCAACCAACCTTAATAAAATTCATTAACTTTCAAAACTTTATCAAATCAATCATTTTAATTATACGGTACCACTGGATACCCCAGGCCTCGAGGCTATTAAATTAGCCACCAAGGAAGGTGAAATAAACTTCATGGGCTCGGTGTTGAAACAAAGGTAGGGGTGATCAATTCGGGTCAACGGGTCGGGTTTGGGTTGAACCGAAACTGACCCGGCACTGTTGGGTCAACCCGAAACGCAGACCCGTTTTAAAAAACGGGTCAGGTTTCTGGACCCGAACGACCCGATTTTCGGGTCCGGGTCAACCTCGACCCGACACGAAATGACGGAATTGGACGCAAAATTGCTAATTTCGGGTCAAAAATCGGGGTCAATCTCGGTTTTTTCGGGTCAAATCGGGTCAAAAACGGGTTCAATCTCGCGTTTCCGGGTCAAAAATGGTTTTCGTGTCATTTCGGGTCAATTCGGGTTGGCGGCGTCAACCCGAACCCGACCGATTTTTAAAAAAGGGTTGATTTCATGAACCGAACCCGACCCGTTTCGGGTTTGGGTTGACCCGAACCGGTTTTTCCGGGAGTCGGGTTTCGGGTCGTGGTTTCGTTCAGTGTCAAAAATTGACACCAACCTAAACAAAGGTGTATCAAATCAATAATTAAGAACATCTTAAAATTGACTTTAAACTATAATATTAAACTTTAATTAAATTTCCCTAAGCCTAATCACCAATTGAACCTTAAATCTACTTTAATTAATGATCCTATTTAGGACATATCAAAAACCACACAGCCTACTCACACAACTTTAGAATGGTTTTGCTAGGAACACCGACTCTAGTTCTAGCTAGGCCGTGTTTACTTTTCTCAACTATGTGCCGGATTTTTCGAGTTTTCACTGCATGCCTGTTTGCTAGTTTTATGAAATTTGATTGATTGTTATTTATTTATGAATTCTGTTGAGCACTTTAAATTTCGAATATAATTAATTGCTTGAGATCAAATAATTTAACTACTTGAGAACTGTATAATACACTGTTGATTATCTAGATAATCCTGCAGGATCGAAGTCTAGAATTTTTTTTTTTATTTTTGATTAATGTAAATTTTGATTTGATTTGTGTTGTAATTTTCAAGTGATTCTGAAGATGGGTAACATCCAATCTGGATGCCAAGAGCGAAGGGCATTCCCTCAGGGGAGAGTCCCATTCCATTTTGGAGCTCCAAATTAGATGGTTTTGAAATATCCAAAGAGAAAAGATAACACTCCGTTCAAAGGGGGAGTTTTCTTTCATTTGATAATCCGGACCCGACGATCCAAGAAGCAGCAGAAGGACGAAGAAATGGATAACGAAGAAACCCATTCTCAAAAGTCACTTGAGTCTTGGATTAGAAATCCGTGGTTGTAGTCAGTGGTGCTCGGCCACTTTACTTTCTGCAATTCTGGATGTTAAATAATAAGTGCACTTGCCTATGGACTTTCAAATTTGAAGCATTAATTTTGATTGATTTAGTTTAATTGATTGTGGCAGTAGAACACCACTGTTTTTTTATAGTCATTTTACCTGCATGCCGTTTTGATTTGACCTGGGTTCGATCGAGGCTTCTTAAGACTTAATAAAATTTTTCCTACTTAAAATCAAAATTAAATAATTTTTTAAGCTCACATAGAAACTTTAACCGTTTTAAGCAATAATCCCGGGACGCGCCGGAGTCCTCAATTTCATGCATTCATTCAATTCAATCTTTATCGAGTCGATTTAGCATGCATCATAATTAAGCAACTAATTAAAAACCTTAAACTCTTAATTGCATTGCTTAAGCTCCAACCCATCATAAGTTTAAGGGACCATGTTAGGATTGCCGTTCTTAGATGTCGTCCCATTCTCAAATACCTTCTAAATAACGTCCCGACCACTCTACCATAAATGTTTTGATTGCGGACTCATAATTTTAAATCGTTTAGGTGTTTTAGCTGGCTCCCCAATTCCAGCCGGGGTAAGTCCAGTATGCATTGTACTAGCTAGGTCGGGGTACTAAATTTCGAGTGCCCAATTTAGATTTAGGTCCGAGGCTTGGCTCGGGCCATGAAGACCTCAACTCCGGGATTTGAAATCTCGCTTTCTAATAAATATTGACCAATTCAAATTAAAGAATCCTATTTCAATCAAATTCGACCCCAAACAATTAGGATAGGCTGGGGATCTTTCTGAAGCAAATTCAGATCTCAAAAACACCTCACTACTTTTCTCCTTTGGATTCGAAAATAAGTTTTCATTTTGAATCGCCAATCCCATTTGAATTTCTAACTCTTTATCTCCTTTGACATACAACTTTGAAATCTAAATGTCCAATTTAATATCGCTATTTTAATCCGAGAGTTATGCGTAGGAAAATCTCTAATTGTTCTACGAGATATGTAACTACGAGGGCTTGCGTCTCATAGGAGAATTTAGAAACCCGATTTAAATTTTAAAATTAATTTTTTCATAAATCTCTAATTAATTATTCTGGGAAAATACAAAATTCATTATCGTCAATTCTCAGTTATCGAAAATAATTGATATCTTCTTTTCTTTGGAGAATATATAATTATTATCGGTAATTTTGAATTAGTAAATTCAATGATCTTCATCCAAGTTAGCATAGTCAAATGATCTTGATGTTTGACTACGATAATTTGGTAGTTTTAATGTTTGAAATTTGACCAATTAGTGAAAATATCTTCTCCGTTTTGAGAATTGATATATTGTCTTCGTTGTGTTAGTATTTCAAAATTAAAGTTTGAAATTAATTACTCCCAAAAATAATTAAAATATTTTTTAAAATTATATATTATTTAAGTATATTTTTTCAATCAAAACAAAAAAATGGCGACTGCCGCTGGGGAAAAATTTCTCTCTCGCATCTTTAATTAGTGGTATGAATTTTATTGAATTCGTAGTCTAACTACCTTCTCTCCGTTGGTCCCTCTAACCCATTTCTCCCTTGGGTGAGTGTGGCCGAAACTAAATTAAGACTTGTGAAAAGAGAGGTGAGTGTAGGAAACTCCCTTAAGGGCTTTGACATTTTGCCTCCAAGTCATTTGTAGAGCGAAAGAGTCAAGCCGAATCCTTTTGGTATATGTTGCAAACTTGCATGCGAGTAATAACTAGCGTGCCAAGCTCATCACGAATTTACAGAAGACTCTTCAAATTTTCAAAATCATAAAATTTCAATCCTTAAGTGAAATTCACTCTCTTTCAAACCTTTCAATATCAACTTTAAAATCGTCGTTGTGATGTGTCTTTTACAATAGTCTATTGTTAGTTGAACATATTGCCAATTAAACTCTTGATCAAACCTGATTTTGAACATTCATCTCTAAGCTAATTGTCGTGTAGTGAAAGAGTCAATTTGTCTAGGCTCCGATTCCCTAATTTTTGTTAACCATTTTGTTGACAAATAAAACTCAATATTTTTGTGTTTCAAAAAAAATATAGGAAATCAATTCAAACCAATTTCAACTGTCATTTTGTCATGTAATCTTCTATGACATTCTGTGTAGTTGAACACATACAATGCAATTCCAAAATTTTCTCTTGTCAGATCCTAGGCTTTGACATTTACCCCAAATCCTTTGGTGGGGTGAGAAGAGTAGACCCTAATTTCTAAAGGATTCTCCTATAATTTGTAAACCTCACATTTGAGTGAAATTCAATGTCTTGAGTTTCAAAAATTTAAGCAGGAGATCCTCCAAATTAATCTCAGTTAAAATTCAGAATCAAAAACTTTGGATTATAGAATAAATTTCAACCTTAAGTTTAAAGCTGATTTTCACCTCAAGCTTAAGTTCAGTTTTGATTTCAAATGCGAGTCACTTTGACATTTTGCCCAAGTCATGGTGTAGCGAAAGAGTCAATTCAACTCATCAATTTATGACGCATCCGTATTTAGTGGTAAATTGGCTACAGTAATTCCGCACCTATATATATATATATATATATAATAGAGCGAACTAATCTTTTGCGTATTACTAAAGAATATATTATTCTGGCATCAAATAAAGGTCAGGGTTTGATGTTATGTCCACTTCAATAGCCTTTTTAGTATTCAAGAAACAATTATCACACCACAAGAGTTGAGATTCCTCCGCTGACATCATCCTCTTCCTCTTCAAATATGTTTTAAATTTCAACGCCAGGACCTCGGAACCCCAATTTCCAATGGGCAATTGCTCGCCCAAGCCCAAGCGTCAATCCCGATCATCCAAAACCCTAGTGGATACCTCGCTGCCGCCGGCCCAACTCCACGGATCGGAATCCTCTCTAATCGCGTGGCGTATCCGCGTCGCACTTCTCTACAAACGTGTAGCCGTCGAATTCGTCGAATGCGGAGATGACGAACCCTTCCTCCGGTGTGGATCGGAGATGGTGACTGGTTCGGAAGAATCGCTGCTTCGATACATTGACAATAGGTATGGAGGGCCGCCGTCGGAGACGGTGACGGAAACAAAGGAGAGGGTAATGGCGGCGGAAGTTATAGTGGTTCAACATCGAAGCATTCAACAGCATGTCGAGGGTATGGCGCAGTGGGTGGCAAAGTTGATGGCGGCAGGCGGCGATGAATGGAAAGAGAAAGCGGCGGAGGGGAGGCGTATGGGGAAATTGTACGGAGAGTTGGTGGAGATAATGCTAGAGCATGCCCAAATGGAGGAAAGGTTCATTTTCCCGACTCTCGAAAGGACCGCAGACTACGGTACTACTGCGGCGGATTCATGATTTTGATCATTAATTTGTGTTTTATCTTTTTAAATTTCACATTCTTTAATTCAATTTATTGCAGTATGAGGAGGAAATCCCGGGTTGTGGTTTATTGAAATAAAATCTAACAATTCTAGATGATGCTTGTGTATCTGTTATTAATACAACTTACTATTATTTTTCTTTTCTTAAACTGATTCACAAAACTGATTGAAAACTACAGCTACTGAACTCTTTATTTATTTATTCTTCTTGATTTTAAAAGAGAGGGTTTAAAAGTAAACTACTGTAATATGGCCTTAATCTTGATTATGATTACGGGTGGGAAATTTCTAATTCAGTTATGATCCATATATGAAATTAATTGAAACATTTTAATATGCTAGAAATTAGCTTTTTGGCTCGAATAAATTTAATTTCAAACTAGCTCTTTTGAAAATGGTTACATATAATAAGATTTTGAATCCAGCCCAACTATTATAATTATATGTATTATATGAGCGATCTATGTCCGACATATAATATAATCAAAGAAAACATTTGGCTTGTGGTCTGATTCAATTCCTAGTAAAACACGTATTCATTTTAGACAAATTTTTTAGCTAAGGCAATTTAGTAGTTTAAAGTTAATTTAGTTGGTTTTAGAGACAAAATTTTAAAATTCGTGATGTAAACATTAATTGTGAAATGTTTAATGATTAGTTTATCGAGAAAAGAAAAACTTGCATAGTCGTACTGCCACTCCAGTATTTGTTCATACTTTTTATGAAAAAAGCCTGCAGTTTGATTCAATTCTACTTAAACATGGACTGGTTTTCAAGATATATTCTAGCTTAAAATGTCTTCGATTTTAAATTTCTTAAGCTAAACCTTAAATGTGATATGTTTAATAGATCTTTTTAATATATGTGTTTTATTAATATATTATAACTCTAATTTCTTATCTTGTTCGTTTAAAGATGTCTGCAGAACGGCCAATGAGCAGCATGGAAGGCATCTCCCGTTAATGAACGGTATTAAAGAAGATCTAAAGTCACTCATCGCAATAGATGTTGGTGGACCTTTGTATAAAGAAGCTCTCCTCAACCTTTTCCTTCGCTTCAGAACTCTTCAGGTATTATTCTATTCTCTCTCCTCTTGCTTTTCTTTTACTGCATCTTAGCGGTCTGATTGTTATGGGTGTTATTCCGCCGGCTGATGCAAGGCTTTAAAGACTTGCCTTGCAAGGTCCGCAACCCCTATAGAAGGACAGCAATCATTGTCCTGGTCCTTACTGCACAATTGCAGCTTATTTTTTTGGGAAAATTAGGCGCCATGGCTCAAAAAAGTTGCAGCTTATGGTTGATTCTTAAACGCAATGATTTCACCTTCGCATTAGCTTTTTTAGGGAAATTAAACGAGCGAATTTATTTTCTAATGAAAATTGTAGATCTCTTTTTTGTGTTTTTTTTCATAATTACATGCCTTTTTAGTCTTTTTTATAATCGATTTATGATAGTAAGTACTTATATATATGCATTTGAGTCACTTAAGACAAATTCATATATATATATATATTTTGAAGTAATCCTTTGCCTATTACTAAAGAATATATTATTCTGACTTTTAGATTTGTGAAAGTGAAAGTAAGATGGGATTGGGAGATAAGTATTGGTAGATCACTAGGTTAACATAAGAATAGTGGGTGCAGACGCTTATGTTTTGTTTGAAATAATTTTTTTTTTCTATTCTATAATAATCTTTTAGTACAAAAACTTCTTCCAAACAGTTAACAATTAGTAGTCAAAAGATTTCCCAAACGAAACTTAAGATTGAATAGTTTATTTTAAGAAAGCAGGTTGGACTTCAATCCTCTATTTTTTGCTAAAATTAGTTTAATAAACATTGCATTAATTTTAGCATAAAATGGAAGACAATGAAGCCCATCTTGATGTAATTTGTGTTGGGGTATTTGATACAATATATTATTATTATTTATAGAGGCGGGCTTAGAAGTTTTTAATAGTGACAGCACAAATTAAATATTTTTAAAATACTCCTAATCTTTTTAGGGTGATTTCTTTTACTTATCATTTAATAACTCATAGTGAAATAATATTATAATATTTCTAATAAATATTTTTGTATTATATATTCTATTAGTTGTATCACATACAAATTTATGATTATCTTATTTTACTTTAAACATTTAGTGTTGGTTTTATAAAAAAATATTATAATTGATATGTCACAAAAAATCACCTTGACGGACACAAATGTCATGGCATATCGAAGTTGTAAACTTCTAAAATTAAATTTGGGATCATCCAAACTCTAATTTTAGCAAACTTATAGTCAAACTTAATGAATCAAAGAGTCAAATCAAATGACACCAAAATAGGTCTTATCCGAGCCCAAATAGCTGAAGCGTGTTCAAAAGATTCAAAGTATTAATTGAATGACAAAATTATATCAGAATATGTCATGCTTATAGTCTAATTGATCGACTCAGTGAGACAAATCCAACGAGCTCAAGTTCACTTAATTCCAACATCATTAAGACACATAAACACTTGAAAAACATTCTATCATTGGAGGAATCTATACACGAAAGTTGCCCATGATCTTTTCTATATTTACGAGATTTGTCACACATACAAATCTATTAATATTCCCTAACTCTCTACATGAGGGGGATCTTTAGGTACATATTGGAGATAGCTCTAAGGCTTCAAGAGTTATAGCACCACCTCCATTGTCAAACCTCCGTTCATCCAATGAAAGCTGTTGGACTTCCACCCGGCTGCCGGCACCCATCAGATTTCCACCTGACCATCATTGGACCATTGCCCAACAGTCGACTATCGTCGGACTTACACCCAGTCGACGACAGCAGTCAAATTTCCACTCGACCATCATTGGACTTCCAAAAGACCATCCTCAGACCATCGGTGTAATATCAAAAATCTAAAAATATAGATGTTTTGTCCCGCTGCATTTGGTGACTTATAGTAGCTCTGTTGTTCTGTATTTGTGTGTTGTTTTGAGTTAAATATTTGGAAGATTCAGTTCAGAACCAAACTCCAAAACCAGATCCTGGTCAGTTCAGTGTGTTCCGCATTCCGTGTCGCGTCCCGGTGCGAGCGGGATCCGTCCCGGATCGGGTCGGGTCGTGACAATCGGCCTCCATTGGACTTCCAAAAGACCATCCTCAGACCATTGCCCAGGCACCTACTGCTGTCGGACTACCACTCAACAGTAGAGCGTTGTCAAACTACCACTCAGCAGTTAACCATTGTCGGACTTCTACCTGACTGTGCCAAACTTTCACCTAGCTATCAACCGCCATTAAACTTCCACTCAACTGTCGATCACTGTAGAATTTCAACTCGACCATCGTCAGACCATCACCCGGCTGTTGATCGTTGTCGAACTTCTACCCGGTCGCCAATCGCTGCCAGACTTTCACCTAACCATCATCAGGCCATCACTTGGCTGCGAACTACGATCCTTTAGAGCACCGTCTCTTGCTGAGTACAGTATCTCCAACCTCTATCGCCTGTTGACTATTGTCCCTCTGAACTTCCTTGCCCACCGACCTCTGTTGCCAATTGACTGCGGTCCTTCAAACCTCTATCTCCCGTTGACTACAGTCCCTTCGACCTCCATCGCCTGCAACTACAGTCCCTCTAACCACCGTAACCCATTGACTACGTCCCTCATGCTTTCGTTCCTAGTGAACTATAGTACCTTCGACATTCATTACCTGCCAACTATGACCCCTCCGACCTCCGTCGCCCGCTGACAACGACCCCTCTGATATCCATCGCCTGCCAACTACGGCCCCTCCGACCATTATTGCTCGCAGATTACTGTCCCTTCGACTTCCATAGCCTGCCAACCACAGTCCCTTTGACCTCCGTCACTCATCGACTATGGTTTCTCTAACCTTCGTCATCCTGCCAACCAAATGAATAGGAAAAAGTTCACTTGAGAATTGCTCACTTATCATTGGATTCTTCCAACCCCAACCATGTAATGTGCTCTATATGACACATTGAACTAAGGCTTTCCCCTTGAGGAAGGGCATCATTTGTAATTGACTACAAAAACTAGTGGAATCATTTTAACTGAGCTAGACCCCATGATTTTTTTTCCTTTTCAGAGTTTTCCACATAAATAAGTTCTTAATACATCATAGCAGAAAATAATAAATTTTCTTTAGATCCTTATATCTCTCATCAGAAATAGCTATTAGAATTTAGGCCCTTATGACTCTCTGTATTAGCATATCAGAAAATATGTCCTTATAATTCTCAATGTTTAGCACCCTGACATTAAAAATTCAAACCCTTATAACTTCCTCTTGGTTCAGCAAAACAAAAATTCCTCAAACATCAAAGCTCCATTAAATCACATATTTCAAATTGATAAGTATATATATTATTGCATTGTAATAAATGAAATATAAATAAATTAATTTTAAAAGATTTACATAATGTTTCACTAATAGGTAATGTATTCAACTATTGAATAAAATTTTATAGTTTTAGAGTTTCACCTAATAATCAAAAAAATTTCAAATACTATTTTGAAGATTTTGAAGCTTTAATTGTATTATAACATTATTTTTTTTATCATAATTAATTTCTAATTGGATAAAAATACCTAAATATTCATAATATCATATCTACATTATATAGAAAATTGAACGGTGAAAGTTTTGCAAGTGTGAAGTTATCTTTATTTTAATGAAACAAATTCATTAAGAAAATTAGAAAAATCTTAAAAATTTTGTATTCTTGAAAACTAAAATAAATAGAATTTAATTTATCTTGATCCTCCGAATAACTTCTAGAATTGAAATAAAAATTTATAATGATGCCTAATACTGCTAAGAAAATAAACATATTGTATTACTTGCGCCAATTTGTCTTGTACTATTCTCGTCACCCACAACTAATTTATGGAGTGTTATATTTTATCGATGCCAATATCATTTGTATTAAAAAAAAAAAAAAGTCAAAACTATCATGTATTCTAACCCAAATTTCATCGAGAGAGCTCACAAAAATTAAATAATGATTGTATAATATAAGACAAAAGTATGTAACATGTGATATGAAATACTTAAAGAATATTTTTATTTTTATATTTTATAATATCATAATTTTTACGATAAATATTTTCATGAGTTCATATTTTATTATCTAGAAAATTACAAATAATTTATTTTTCGTCTTCCACAATAAATATTTAGTTGATTATATATAAGTATTTTAATTTTTTTTTTGGAAAGTATTTTAGTTTTTTTTTCAAGAAAATTATTAGCGCATTTATTATTATTTTTTTTCAATTATTTACTGACATTAATGCAGTTCAGGAACACTGCAAGCAACATTTCCAAGAGGAGGAGAGAGAGCTTCTGCCCTTGTTAGAAGCAGCAGAGAGCGTCAGGCGAAAGGAAGGGGAGGAGCCATGGCCACCAAATCGATGGGTTCAGCAAATTATGGATCTCATGGAGCAAACTCATTCTCGCTTATTTACATTCTTCGCGTCCGGCCTCTTCCCTAACGAGGCACTACGCTATGTTGGCCTTGTTTCAGGTGGCGATGACCAGCGGGCCATTGCCATGCTTCGCTCAATCGCTATCTCAATCGACACCTGACCACTGATTACAGCATAAAGCTGTACCTCCACTCATTTGTACACGCGATCATGTCAAGACCTTGACAATTGTTGTTGTTGTGTCTTTTTTTTTTTTAATTTTATTTTTGAGTCTATTAAGACAAAATTCATACAAATATTATATTTTTAAACTTCAAATCTATAACCTCTTGATTGATAGTCAAAATTTTCAACCAACACATCAAAATGTCTTATAACACAGCTCACCTTGGCCTGTTGGTTGAGAGCTTATGCTTTAACTAAAAGGTCCTGGGTTCGAGTCTTTGTGTATGCGTGATGTGTGTGAGTTTGCCTTAATTGGCCTAAATGTCCAAAAAAAAAAAAATGTCTTATAAATTTCAAAAATATTAGTCACATATTTTTTAACTAATTTTTTGTTGGGATAAATTTAAAAAAACTAATGTGTTATTTTTATAATATATTTCATAAAATATTTATTCTATTAATTATATAAATATTTTTTATTATTTTATTATATATTTCATAATATATGTTTTAATTTATGTTTAAATTTATTTAAAAAATTAAATGTATCGCAAGTTTCATATGTCAAAATTTTAAATTCATATTGATGACAATTTAATAGGATATTGTATAAATATAATGTATCAATGTAATAGCATTGATACAATGCAATGAAACACAAATTCAGTATTCTCCATTCACTATAAGAAAATTGGTCAATAACAACAAAAAAATAAAGATAAAAAGAAAATGATCGCTAAAGATATATTTTAGCGATCAAAAGTAAGTATGACCTCTAAATAATAAAGAAGCTTGATATTAGCCACCAAAAAGAAAAATTGGATGCTAATTTTGTCTCTAAAAGTCTTGAGAAATTTTTTTCTTGAATAATGATTCTTTTTTACTTGTGTACATAATACATTTTAAAAATATCATTTATATTTTATATAATGACAATTAAATGTTAACAAAACTTAGGCTGAATTATGGATGATTAGTTTGCAAAAAAAAAAAAAAATCAAAATAATGTAATTGATTCATTATTCAATTTCTACAAAATATGTGTTGGAGTTTGTCTATTTGTTCATATTCTTCACCGTCGAATGCTTCGCAGATATGTCAGTTGGCCATGGGCACTGCACTCTTTGGTGGGGTTCGACGTGTCTGGTCAGGTCACGAGTTCGACCCTCATAAGAAATATTTTTTGTAAGGATATTTTTGGAATTCAAATTAATAAAAAAAAGATGAATTCAAATTGCTATTCACATTTTTAAGATGGAAAATCTAATAAATTATTTAAATGTTAACAATTACTAATTTAAATAAAACTATACTTAATAATTAACAATTACTTATTTAAAATTTTACAATTTAGTAAAAGCTAGGTTTTGCTCTTTAGTGATGACCTCCAACCGTGTGGTTGACTTGCCGTTTAGCATCCATGACTGTCGTTTAGCAGCCACGACTCAACATTTTCTCTTTTTTGCACGATAATATGAGTTCCTTTCCTCAAAATTATTCGAACACTCCCACAAACCCCTCTGTCGGTTCCTTGCTCTCAAGTTATCTCTAATATTGTCTATTTTCCATTTCTCTTCTCTATCACCCATTGCAAAGCCCTCCTAGGTTACTTATTTTCTTCAGCAATTGGTAAAGTTGCGCTGATTGCCTCTCTACGATTCTCATTTCATATTATCTAATATAGATTCATAAGTTCTCTTTGATTTCTTATTTTCTTGAGTGATAGGCGTCGCCTACTGATTGATGACCGCCACTACATCATCATCTACAACCAAAGACAATTATGCTTTTTATTTTTCTCTTTTCCCGTTGCATTTACGAAGGTGATGGTGCGGTTCAATTCGCTGCTTTCAAATCTTTTTTAGTTTATTTTTTTAAATTCTTTTGAGTTTCTTAATTATTTTTAGTTCCTTATTTGATTCAGCTCATAAAGTTTATTTTCTTAAATTCTTGCATAAATATTTGTCTCTTGTGTTCAATTTAGACTTATGCAAATTCTTGAGCCGGGCTTTTGGAATATCCTAGAAGTGACAGACTATGCCATGGAATGATGTAGCTGTAGGATTAATTTTGCTTTGTTATCACTTTAGGCATATGGTTCCTACTAATAATATTATTATTTTATGATACATTTATTAGCAGCAAACAACCAAATGATACTTGATTGTGTTTTGTTCATTTCATAAAGTTATTGAATAAATGTATATTTTTAAATTTTCTATAAAAGTATACTGTTCTTATGCTATATGTAACATAAATTGATTTAAAAAAGAAAACCTGAAAGAGACTTTTTGAGTAGAGAAACATAGAAGTATGGTTTTATAGTTTGAAAAGCATTCTAAAATTGAGTAATGGCAGATTAAAATGGAGAAAAGCATAGAGGCCGGGTAAAATAAAGTGTATTCATTACATTAGTAGAAATGAGTACACACCTCTATAAATAGATGTTAACTATGCTAGAAACCTAGTACAAGGCTACACAAGAAACAAGAACAAAGACCCAGTAAACCCAATTACACGTAAGCAACGGAACATAAAATAAAATACAATACATATTAACAGGCCCCTCAACTGGTGCATCGGATGATGTGACCAGTTTGGTTGTAAGTTTTTGAAAGCGCGAAATAGATAGAGGCTTAGAAAAAATGTCTCCAATTTGATCTTTGGTAGATATATGATGAACGGTGATAGCTTTATTTTTTATGCATTCCCTGGTGAAGTGACAGTCAACTTTGATGTACTTTGTGTGGGTGTGAAAGACCAGATTGTTTGCTAAAGCTATTGCTGAGGTATTGTCGCATAACAATGGTATGGATTGTAAGGAAGAGAAATTTATCCCTTGAAGTGATCGGCGGAGCCAGATGACTTCAGCGGCTGTAGCAGCAAGTGCGCAATACTCTTCTTTCGTTGAAGATCTTACTAAAACATTTTATCTCTTGACGCTCCAGGAAATAAGAGATGATCCAATATAATTGCAGTAGCTGAAGATAGACTTACGGCCAGTGGAGTCACCTGCCCAATCAGAATCTGCATAAGATTGCAGAAGAGGAGAGTCGCGAAATAGTGGAAGTCCTGTGTGGATCTTACCTTGAATATAGTAAAGAAGGCACTTGAGGGCTTTGAAGCAAGCAGTTGATGGGTTCTGCATATATTGCCAAACATTGTTAACGGCGAAAGAAATATCTAGTCCAGTGAGAGTAAAGTACTACAGTGAGCTAACTAATTGATGGAAGTATGTAGGATTAGTGAAAGGTGCATAATGAGCAGAAGAGTGAGATGATTTGAATTGAGAGGGAGTAGAAATAGGTTTGCAATTAGTCATGTCAGCTTTGGATAGGATCGAAGCAGCGAATCTTCTTTGGTTAAGGTGTAAGCCGTAGGATGTTTGAACCACTAGAATACCAAGAAATTATGAGATTGATCTGAGATTACGCATTTTAAATTTGGCATTAAGGTTATTCAAGAATTCATTAATATTGGATTTAGAGTTTCCGGTGAGGAGGATGTCGTCAACATAGATGAGAAAAAATATTGAAATATTGGATCTATTGTATATAAGTAGGGACGGGTCAGAGGAGCTAATTTTAAACCCGAGGGTTTGAAGATGGCTAGAGAGCATTATGAACCATTAATGTGGTATTATTTTAAACCATATAAGGTCTTTTTCAAGCGACAGACATGATTTGGGTGAACAGTTTCATGGAAACCTGGTGGTTCTTTCATGTAAATAGTATGAGATAACTGGCCATGAAGAAATGCATTTGAAACATCCAACTGATGAATATGCCAAGTGTAGTGAAGAGTGACGACAAGAAGGATGTGGACGGTAGACATTTTAGCTATAAGACTAAAGGTGTCACTACAATCGAGGCCATATTCTTGATTAAAACCTTGAGCAATAAGTATAGCTTTATGTCAAGCTATAGTGTCATCGGATAGAAAATTTGTGCGAAATGTCCAGTGACAACCAAGAATGTTTTAGGAAGGATGAGGTGGAATGAGTTCCCAAATTCCTTGAGATTTTAGAGCTTGAAATTCATTGGACATCATCGTTCGCCAATGTTCAAATTTATTGGCCTTGGCATAGGTAGTAGGATCATTAGTGAGGGATTGATGAAGAAGATTAAAATTGATTTTGGGTTTTAGATTTCCAGTTTTGGATCTAGTTTTCATATGACGAGATGGAGGTAGAATGGGAGGATGGGAGGTGATAGAAGTATAGAGCGGTTGAAGAATGCAGGATGGTGTTGGATTAGTTGAGTCATTATATTGAATAATAGTATGCGGAGGTGCAAAAGAGGAAGGTTGAACTTGAGTAGTAGCGGATTTTGGGAGAGAATGATCGGAAATAGGGACAAGTAAAAGAGGTGGCAAGTGATGTGAGGTAAGATTTTGATCAGTGGAAGGTACAGGTTGAAAGTTCGACAGGGATGTTACGCCCTAATGAACTAGTCCCAAGGCTACCAAGCGGGGGGGGGGGGGGGGGGGGGGGGGGGGGGGGGGGAGGGGTGGAAATTGGTATTTAAAAAATCTCTCAATCAAAAGCACAGTCTTAAACCAAAATCAAGAAATTCACCACAGAAATCAAAGTGCAAAAATTTAAAAACGGAAGCAATAATAAAAAATACAAAAATTTATAGTGGTTCGGTCAACGACCTACGTCCACTCCCCGGAGGCACCCTCTGAGTATTGCAATTGCACTAAAATTAGTGTATCTCCTTTTGCCCCCACAATAAAGTAGAGAAGCCTTTACAAACCTCTTTTCCACCAACCCAGGTGAGGCAGAGAACTCAACTCCTTTCGCTTCATCCAGAAGAAGGCAGAGAACCCAACTCCTTTTGCTTCCTCTCGAAACAGGCATAGAACCTTGATCATATGCTTAAGTAGACATCTATAGAACCCCCATGGAACTAAGAACAATGACTAGAGAAGATGATGCATGATGGATCCTTGCTTGGAGCAAACTTTGTGAAACCCTTACAAACTCCCCCTCATAAGATTCTCTCTCTCTTTCTCCCTTGCTCTCCCTCTCCTCTTGTGTCTCTCAAGTCAGAACAATAGTAAAAGATACTCTCTTGGGTAGAATAAGAGGTATTAAATAGAAGATCTTCAGAATAGCTCTTAATTGCAAC